ACCCTCCCGTTCATTCTATCCCCACAAAGCTAAAGTTATATGGTTGGCATAAAATTCAGATTTTCCTTTCTGTAGATCCCGCTCCCTGCTATTGTTTAAGCGAAACGTTATATATCAGATAATAGAAGGTCATCTCAAGGGACAGACGGATAGCGATACGTATTTCCATTGGAAGGCGACAGAATGAATTTAATCAGTGTGTGTGATTGCGGGAAAGGAGGAGAAAACAAGAGGATAAGAATGATGGAGGCATCGGATTGGCGTTGGAAAGTATTTAGGGCGAAAGATAGGGTCAGTTGGCTTGTGTCGTGAGAGATTTTTCTTCTTTTTTTTTGGTTTTATTTTAGCTTTTTTTTTACTTTGGCAGTCAAGAGGCTTCTTGTAAAGGAGAAGAGAGATAGCTAAGAGTGAAATAAAAATGGAAATCGGAACATTAAGAAGAAGTGTTGATTGTCACGTTAGATTGAGGAAGATTCGACTTGTTGACACGTCAGTATTAAGTAGCAAGCAGGTGGCGCGGGGAATGTCGCATACCTGAGAAACGGCTTTGCACGCTACTTCCGATAAGCAAGAAACTCGAGACACCCTCCATACACCCCCCCCAAAAAAAAAACTAACAACGAAAGGCAGTCTGAAGAAGGCAATGAAAGCCTCAGGGTCGCATTTGTTTTCCACCAGGATTCGTAACGTTGTTTTTTTTTGTTTGCCTAATACAAGCCCTAAGAGCCACTCATGGTAGAGGATAACTTACAACAACTTCATTTTTATGAGCATAAGAGGAGGATATTCTGTTCAAATATAAATAGTGCAAACACGAGGAGGAGTTTAGATTAAGAAGACATGACAGAAAGTTAGAGGTTGACACTAGACTGGAAGGGCTTAAGAATGTAGAAATCGAAAAGCATCGTCACGTATGTGTCTTCCAGAAAGCAGCTGTTCAAATTGAATTTTCTTTTTACCAATGAAACAAGAATGGAATAGTGTGGGGTGTCATCCCAAGGTAAATGGTGGGCCTTAGATGTGAAGGTCTGAAGTGGTGGAACTAATAAATGTACCTTGTCACGACATTTGCTAAGGGTTTGTTTGATTTTCTTTCGTGGCATATCAATCTTTATGGGTTACATTTTGAGCAGAGTTCAACTACAGATAAAATATATTGTTGGTCATTTTTCCATAAAATTTATTGTTGTTAATTCTTCCTTAAAAATTTATTATTGGTAATTTTACTATAAATATGTATTGTTGGTAATTTTTTATATGAAAAATGTTTTTGCTGGTATTTTTACTCTAAAAATGCATATTTATGTTGTAACGGTGTTTGGGGGTTCACTGTTTGTCCATAGGTGGGTCTTCCTGGTTATGAAGATAAACTACATCCGCGTCCTGGGTAAGACAACAAACTACATCCGCATCCTGAGTACGACGATAAACTACGTCCAACAGCAACGCCTCTGATCAGGAGGTTTTGAGGAGCGTGGAACCACCTCTTAATTGCTGGTGTTCCCAGTTCCACCCAGACCCGGGGTGGTAGCACCTGTTAGGGTCCCAGCTATGGGCAAATAGTTAACCTCGAAACTGTGGTAAAAAGCATTATAAAAGCATAAAAATAGGTTTTAATAACAGAAATACTTTGTAACAAAGTTATTACCTGAAATTTTTTTTGAAGTAAAAAACTATTACCAGCAATATATTTTTGAAAAAAAATATTACCAGCAATACGTTTTTGAAAAAAATATTACCAGCAATACATATTTTAAAATAATATTACCAGCTATACATTTTTGAGGAAAAAAATATTAACAGAAATAGATTTTTGACAAAACAAAATATTACCAGGAAAAAAAGTTGTAGGCATTAAATAACCCAAATGAGGTTGATATGCCGTAAAACACAATAAAAGAAACCAAAACCATAGCAGATTTTATAAATTTAGTTCAAATTTGGCGGTCAGGTCTCATCATCTTAGAGTTGGAATGGTTAGATGCAACCGTAAGTTCTATGTTAACAGGTTCTTCTATCATATTTCTTACTTGTAAAACTCTTTTCAAATTCTTGCTTTCTACTCAACTTTGATCTTCAAAAGTTTTAAATGCAATATCAATCGTTATCTTTTGTCTTTTTAATTCTTTTTGTCCTCTCTCCTTAATAATGTTTTCTTTTTCTCATATTTTCACACTCATTAATCCTTTGCGTCTTAATGGCTTTATTGCCTTGCTTATGATGAAATGATATTAGAAGAATATTAAATACTTCTCGTTGATCGACGGTTGATCCTCCTCATTTTATTCGGAGGTAGAATGGTGAGAAAGAAGTTGAACAAATGTCAAAGTTTTCTTATTCCAGATGAGGTTGAACGTGTGATTTCTTTATCTAAATTCATATAATTATATTCGAAAATACGAAAATGTTGAGAAGAGAGAATCAACATCTAGCTACGTGTACCTAGTTAAGTGATTCCAGGATGCATCGTGTCTTCCTTTAATCTTGTCGTTACTCAATATTATTGCTTATGCTATCCACGTTCCTGTTAGACAAGCCGCGTTGCTAAATATATTACAATATAAATCAATACTGTCATGATTTTAATCCAGAAAGCACGTTACGAATAAATAAATAAGTACAATTAGAAGAATGTATTTTCTTTAAAAAAATGCATGAATGAATAACTAAGTGAAATTTCGTATAAAGTCCTCACGATGTCAAACCCTGTAACAAAATAAATTACACCATTGTATTCAGTAGGTACTTTGTGTTGATAACGCCTTTGTATTGATAATGCTTTTCTATTGATAATGTCTTTGTGTTCATAAGGCCATTTGTATTGACAGTGACTTTATATTGATAGTGCCTTTGTTTTGATGATGAATTTGTATTGCTAATGATTTTGTATTGATAATGCCATTTGTATTGATAATGAATTTGTAATAATAATGCCATTATATTGTTAATGCCTCTGTATTGATAATGACGTTTGTATTGATAATACCTTTGTTTTGATAATGCACAAGCAACGTTCTCAAACATTTATAGCAATACATATAGAATAATGAAACTGGTATCAAAATGAAGTCAATTTATTTCTTTTCAGAATTACGAGGGTTGCTTGATAGGTAAGTCAAACCCGTTTTCACCTGATCAATGGTTACACCCTCATCAATACTCCTTAAGCTAAACATCTCTTTGGTTTCAATTTCACTGCATATCTCAAATGGAACCCATATATACAATCCATTGTTAAAGATGTCCCTCAAAATGCTTAGCTCAGTATTTGAAATGAATATGAAACTAATGACGATCCATCATCACTGATGATCCTGAATTTTCCTCTAGCACAATGAACAGGTGTTCTTAAGTGGAACTCATATATACTAAAGATGATGGAAAAATAGTCAGTTATTTGTACCACCCCAGTAAGTACCTGACTACCTTCTGTTATGCCTACTTTTACAAGGGTTAATTCAGGCCTGGAATGGAGTACTGCTGCCATATCTGGATTGGAGCTGCCATGTCTTCACTTACTAGTTTTAAGTGAGTCCAAAAACGTCTACGCAGCATTGTGGGTGATGGATTATTTCCCACCTTACAACCTCTTCCCCACAGATGATATGCTGCAAGCTATTCGCCCTTCTATCGCAATTTCCATGGAAAATGGTCAGACGAGCTATATTCCTTAGTTCCACCAGTTCTAACCTTCTAACAGCTCAGACCCACCTTGCCACGTACAGAGTAGCGAACCACCACCATTCCCTTCGTATCCCATTGGCGAGATATAACTTCCATTCGAGCAGCTTCTCCCCGCAAACTATTTCTTTGTGGAATCAACTCCCAAGAGGATGCTTCCCCGACCATTACAATCTTAATAAAACTTGGGCTAACCGTTATCTTTCCTATATATCTTTATAAACTGCGATTTTACCTCTTATTCTTTTCACTCACGCAATAAACTCCTTCAGTGACATTCTACCATGAGTGTCACTTGGGCCTTGGAACTTTAGTAAAACAAATAATAAGAAACTCTCCTGCTTGGATGGCTTAAAGAACACTTTAATGTTAACAAGGGTCAATCACCTTATCATCATAATCTTTCTATCTTACTAATTATTCTTCCATTCTTATCCCACACCTCATTTCCCATTACCAGTTCGACTGGATCTCTTCTTGAATTTAGTGGAATTTATTAAAAAATATTTCGTTTATTTTATTCCACTCCAACAGCTTCTTCCACTGAACCGTTGTTTTGTGGAATCAATTCCCAAGAGGATGCTTATCCGATTTGTCCAATCTAAACGTGTTCAAGTCTAGGGATAACCGTTATTTTCCCCGTATACTCTATAAACTCTACATCATACTGTGTAATCCTCTACTTCGAGTGACTCTCTGGCCTTCTACAGTGTGATCATTACTGTAAAAAAAGAGCAAAGCAAGTTGTGAACCGGAAGTTGGTGGAACTTGTATAGAATGAACATTAAGAAAACTAAAAATAAGAATGTCTCTTGCGTGAGTGCTTCTAAGAATAGTTTAACAACAGTCAATCACCATGTTTAGTCCTTATCCTCAAAATCTTCCCGTCTTAACACCTTCTCTTCCATTCTTATCCCACAACTCATTTCCCAATACCAATTCGAGTGGATCTCTCCTTGCATCTAGTGGAATCTATTAAAAAATATTTTGTTTATTTTATTTGATATAATAAGAAAGTCTCTTGTGTGGATGTTTCACCTTGACATAACTATTTATATGTTTTATAAAATAATACAGAGAAACATGTTAATAAAAATAACACATCGACAATTTTTATAAAACGTATATAGACACTAGTTTGTAAAAGATAAAAGGGTTACTTGCTTATAAGAATATTATCGAAATACTTACAAAGATCGCTTTCTGTCTGTCGGATAAGACGTCGGTGACTTCGCTCTCAACAGCTTCCAATCTATTGTAAGTTTTAGTAACGTTTGTCTTTTCCCATCCCTCACATCCCGTTCCAGCTTACGGCCCTAAACTTTGAAACACCGGTTTCTGTACGATCAGTGAAGTTAAGCAATGGCAATCCTGATCAGTACCTTGATGGGTGACCTCTTGAGAATACCATGTGATGGTTCGTTATGCGCACAAATTGTATAGAAAAATTGTACAATTGAGTGACATTATAAAATATTTCGCTCATTTCAATTGTTTTCTCTGACGAGCACTTCGCCAGTGGCGAAACGTCAGAAGCCTCTCGTTGCTCGATTGCTATTTCTATGGAAAGTACTTAGACGAAATATGTTCCTTAATACCGCCTGTTTTTACCTTCACGATTAAGACCTGTCATTCCTCTGAGGTTGTAACAGACCAAAGTAATTTCCATCGTATTCCACTCCAACAGCTTCATCCACCGAACCGTTGTTTTGTGGAATTGTTCGAAAACAATTATTCAAAAACATTTATTCGAAGTCGTTTGAGTGAAAATTAATCGAAAGCATTAATTATTCTAAATGATAATTATTCGAGATGCTTATGTTTGAAAAACGTATGTGGACTTATTTGAGAGTGTGAGTGCTGGTTAACAAGAACAAATAACGCTCTTGAAGGCTTTTTTGCAGCAAGTCTCATCCCGTCACCCTACAATATAGAAATTCTTAGAAGCTCTTAAAAGAGGACAGGAGTTGCAAGAAATCCATATTGCAAAAGTAAGAGTCGGTTGGCAAAATGTCAAGAGCGCCAAAGTATACCATGACGTAAATGGACAACCTTAAAGAGTACTCTTCAGTAGTAAGAAAATTGTACCGGCATTCACTGCCATAGAGGAGGATTGATATTACATAGCAGTTCAGATCTCTTTTCTTTGTTTCTACCGAATCTTTCTTGTTTCTTAAATCTCGAGTCTCCTCTTCATCTGTAAGAAAATTGTCCACCATTCACTGCCATAGAGAAGGATTGATATTACATAGCAGTTCAGATCTCTTTTCTTTGTTTCTACCGAAATTTTCCTGTTTCTTAATACTCGAGTCTCCTCTTGATCTGTAAGGAAATTGTCCAGCATTCACTGCAATAGAGGAGGATTGATATTACATAGCAGTTCAGTTCTCTTTTCTTTGTTTCTACCGAATCTTTCCTGTTTCTTAAATCTCGAGTCTCCTCTTCATCTGTAACGAAATTGTCCAGTATTCGCTGCCATAGCGGAGGATTGATATTACATAGAATTTCAGATCTCTTTTTTTCTACCGAAACGTTCCTATTTCTTAATACTCTAGTGTCCTAGGACAGAAAGTATCATTAATACTTAAAATAGTTGAAGTACTTACTTTTTCTCAAAAATGATTTTAATAGAAATATTCTATAAATTTCAATTGAATGTATCCCTGGCGGCTCCATCAATGAATGCCGAATGTTTCTTTATAAAGAAACATTTAATATAATCTTTAGCATTATATGAGTCAAATCCTGAAATTGCCCAGTTTAAGCCGCCAACATCGCGCTGGCGTCGATGATCCACCGACCCTCCGTCTTTGGTACAGTGAGGGAGAAGCATGGTTGGAATTTCTGGGCTAGGCATTCTTCAATGACTTCTTTTTTGTGTTCTGTATGAAAACAGAAACACAATTGAGAAATAAAATGCAGTTTTCCCAGTCAGAAAATACTGCACTTTAAATCCCAGCCTTGTATGTAAGGAAAAAAAACTTAACATATTGGGCACGGGCTGTTCGATCAATGAATGCTGATTATTTCCTTATAAGGAAAAGGCTAATATTACCCGTGACATTAGCAAAATGCAAACTTTTAAAGATAAATAAACAGATATATAAGTAAAAAAAATACCGAATTTTAAAAATTGTCAAATTTTCGCTTTTAGCTCCACTTTTTTGGCATAAATTTTCGATAACTAAGGTTTAAAATTAAATTTTAAAAATTAAAAATCTTTCTTGAAGATTTCATTTTAGCTTTAATTGAAAGTTTAATAATTAAATTTATTATTTCCAGTAAGTAAAATATTCTGGTGTATTTCAGATAGAAATTATATAGATTGGAATATCAAATTTAATTTCTATTTCTTAAAATTTTCTTAAAAGCGGCCATTTTCTTAATTTTAAGAAATTTGTAAACCATCCAAATTTTTCTATTTTAAAATTCTTTCAAAATTAAATATATATTTCTGGCACGTTATTTTATTAAAATTACATAATTTAAAGTTAAATTAATCTGATTTGAAATACATGTTACTTACTTATAACATAAAAAATGATATACAACCAATTATTAACGATTGGTCCTGTTCATCTGATCCAAGGTTTCATGGACTGCTCATCGACGAAGCGATGACAGCTACTATGGATGACCCAATTGTCAGAAATCTAAGTAAACGCATATTTCTGGTTAATAACTACATAGTCATTTTTACAAATGAACATATTTTCCGCAATTATTTAATATTTTATTGAATTTTATTTACCTTTTGAAGATGGGAAAATAAAATAAAAATATTCTAAAGTTTAGAATATTTTTAGATCATAAAAAGCAATAGTTAATATAAATTTTATTACACACTAGCAGCATGGCCCGGCGTTGCATGTGCTTGATTCAAAATACGTACGACTCATACAGCAATCGTTATCACTTGACTTAAAATATTTTTGCCCTTCCTTGCCTTTAAATGAGTGCCCTTTGCCGTGCTGATGTTGTTACATGCCTTACTTCTTGCCTATCTCACACTGCGAATTTTTTCGAAGCTCTATACTAAACATTAAATCTGTTACGAAAAAAGAACTAAACAAAATGAACACAAAACGATCAGCTTTAAAAAGGACTCGTAACTGGAAAACCGAATGAAAAAAGAATGTTAACAACAAATACTTTTTCACACCCATCCCAGTTCTGCGGAATCAGAATCAACATTGAGTTTAAGCAAGCGAATGAGCCAATTGAAGTAAAGTGCCATGCAGATTTAAATTTTTCCCACTTGTGACGAATGCAGCTATCGATTTTTTTATTGCATGCTAGCATGCTAGTTAACATTCGTGTCAGTCAGCTGTTGGCTCTCACGCTGGCCAATAGAACCTTCCTGCCTGTTCGTGGCAGCCAGCTTTAGGCTCTCACTCTGGCTAGTAGAAAATGGCAGCAAACTACATGAAAACTGCCGTAGAAGCATGAAAAATTCGATTATTTCCACTATCGATGGGAGTTGAGAAATACACAGTCGGTCGTGGCCTTCCGGCTAACTTGGAGCATGTGCATGTAAATTCTGGTGCAAATCCGTCGAAAATTGCGGCCGTGCTTTCGTTACACACACACACACACACACACACACACACACACACACACACACACACACACACACACACACATATCCTGCCTTATATATATATAAAACTTTCAGTTATCTGTTTGGATAAGTCTTGTTCTTATGTCCATCGTCTTTGTCATGTTGAATTGATAATGTTAATTATATTTTATGAATATGTCCTGAAGATGGTTTATTAGACCGAAATGTCCGACGTTGACATTATATTAACATTAAAACAGCATAATTGCTTATAAGGATTTTTGTTTGTTTTTTCCGTATATTTTTCTTCATACTGTCGGATCTATATCCGTATATTTGCTTACATATATATATATATATATATATATATATATATATATATATATATATATATATATATATATATATATATAAATAATAATATTCAGATCATTTTACTTTACCGAAAAAGAAAATCTAATAATCATTAAAGTATTTACCACCACAGGTAGAATCCATATCTGTCAGATGTGTAATATAAGAAGGTTTTTCCATTAGATATTTATTAAATAAATTGAAAGTGATATTTCTATTATTCGTTGTCTCAAATGATTATCTTTGTTTTAAAGACTAATTAAAATCAAAGATAAAAGAGCGGGCCGGCGCAAACTACCTATTTTTTTTCAGTGTTCTTCAAATCGAGACTATACCTTGTGCATTGATAAACACAGACGTGATGAGACGGGCACTGACCATTTAAGCATTCCATACTGCATCCCAAAACGAGGCTACCAATAGAAGACAATTATCCTGCTTTTTCTCCCGAGGTCAATCAACTAATTATGAGGGTATGCCGATATAACTGGGATAAAAATGACCTTGAACTGAAAATCAAAATTCTCTACAAAAGTAGATCAAAAAGTAAGACCCAAGGTGAACCATTTTGTTATGGTCCAGGTTAGGACCAAAGAAGAACACGAACACAAGAGTAGAAATAACGAAGGTATATTACACGAAATAATAATACAAGATGTGGAAGGTGTTAGTATGACTGTCAGTCTGGTTTGGAGTGAACTACTATCGGCTCGACTCGATTCGTCCCTCTCTCTTGAGAGGCATAGTATACATAGTGTTAGGAAGAGTTTATTCTGTAGTTATAGGTAAGGACCCATGACATTCCAATTCCAGATCATTGTTTCTGCTATGGAGAGCCATAGCAGAAACAATGATCTGGAATTGGAATGAAAGCAGTGATAGTACCTGCCCTGAATCTAACATAATACAAGACTTTCAGATTAAGACTTTCATGTGGATGTTATACATGGTGCCAGTCCCGTTCAGAAATATCTAAACTGTCAACTGTATATAACCGATTCCTAAGATCAATGGTGAAAAAAAAAAAGAGACTTTGAGCAAATAAATAGTGAGGGTCTTGGCAAAGATCATCCGTCTTCGAATATTGAAAACTGGCGCTACACAATCATAAACAAAGAACTGCAACAGACAAAATAGAAGCCATATCATTTGAGAATACCAAGTGTAGCAAAAACTAAAATGGATAGCACATTAAACTCGGACAGAAAATAATGACATTCCACACTATTTCAAGTAGACGGCTCACAAAGAAACCCCATCAATACTGGATACCAAATGTTTCCTTGTAGGAAACAGTATCTATTGTCTTGTGGATTGTTGTTCTTTTATTGTCTTCTATTCTTAATAGTGTCACGTGTGTGACAAGAGAAATAAGATAAAGAGAAGTAAAAGGATTTACAAGAAGACCAACTAAGTTTTAGAGTAAACAAAAAAAACAAATGGTTTTATAATAATTTTAATGATTATGGTCAGTGGCTAAAAAGGAACAAAAAACCCAGAAG